CCGGCCGGAGCCCGGCCCGGGCTTGGCCCGAAAACCCGGGCCAGACACGGGTCCGGTCGTTGGCGCCCGGCCCGGGCCCAGACCCGGCCCGGAATAGTATTTTTTTATTTTCTTATATGTATAATATATGTATATATATATAATATATGTATATATGTATATATATAATATATGTATATATATATATAGGGAGAGGTTCAAATACAAACCTCGCTATCCTAAAAACTAAAAACTTCTCCTCTCCATTGGATCTAGATTCATCCAATGGCTGAGATTAAACCTGCGTGAGGGTAATCTGGTAAAATAAACAGCACCCAAAGAGAGGTAATTAATGCTTCTGTTGAGTTCTCCATTTCCCCATGCAATCTTACGACTCAGGCAACCCAACAGTCACGAATATCAGCTCTCGTTCATCGTCCAGCAGCTTTCAATCGTGAAATTGTCCAGCAGCTATCTCGTTCATCGTCCTTCAGATCTTCAGCTCTCGTTCAGAAATCGTCCAGCAGCTCTCGTTCATCGTTCATCGTTCTTCAGCTCTCGTTCATCGAGAAAACGTCCAGTAGCTCTCATTCATCGTTCTTCAGCTCTCTTGTTCGAAGTCCAGCAGCTGGACATTGCTCAACATTTTATGGAGATTGAAATGGAGAGCTTGAATTCAGGTGTGCATGGTCTAGTTTTTTTCATTGTAATGGAACTAGATTCAGTATTTAAAAACTTAGCCATATGACTTATTATCTTGTAGCTTACATTCTTAAACATTTTATGGAGTTTTAAATGGAGAATTTGATGCATTGAATCGAGATTTTTTCATTTGTTCTAAATGGATAGTGGTAAATATTGGTGGTCTGGATTATGCAATATGCACTCTAGTTGAGTTTATCTCGATTCAGTTGAGTGGATCGAGATAAACTGGGTGAATCTACTCTATTCAGTTTAGTGAATCGCGATTCACTGGATAAATCGTCTCGATTCAGTTTTGTAAATCGCGATTCAGTTGAGTGGATCGATATTCACTGGATGAATATACACGATTCAGTTGAGTGAATCGCGATTCAGTCGAGTGGATCGAGATTCACTGGGTGAATCTACGCGATTCAGTTGAGTGAATCGCGATTCACTCGTTGATTCGACTCGATTCAGTTTTGTAAATAGCGATTCACTGGGTGAATCGTCTCGATTCAGTTATGTAAATAGCGATTCACTGGGTGAATCTACTCGATTCAGTTAGGAAAGTGAGGGTTTTAAATTTTTTCCATTTTCTTTGATCTTGTTAGAATAAGTCAAGTAATTTTTATATTGTAAGATGTTTTCATTTGATCTAAATGGATAGCGGTAAATCCAGATTCAGTATATCAACACATATGATTGATGGTGTTTTATTTTCAGTTGTAGGCAGCAATGAACAAATTTACATACCACATGTTATAAATGCATCGGACAGTGATTTTGGAGAAGATGGAATGGACGAAGTTAGCTCTATTCCTTTTGAATCACCAGGTGGTGGTATGTATTGGAAACCTCGGGTTGAAGCTGAAGTTAAACCTTATCTAAACCAAAGCTTTCGCTCACTAGAGGATGGTATAGAGTTTTACCGAGAGTATGGACGTAAAAGTGGGTTTGAGATCAGACGGCATACGGAGAAGAAACATGAGGACGGTACAGTTCTTCTTAAACACATTGTTTGCAGTAGAGCTGGCAGCAATGAATCAAAGATGGATGTTGATATTGATGAGTCTAGTAGCATTTTGAAAAAGAGAAGGAGAACTGTATCTAGTAGATGTGGTTGCAAAGCTAAGGTCGTATTTAAGTTTGATGGTTTGAAAGGATATAATGTTCTCTCATTTGTTGAAGAGCATTCTCATTCTTTGGTCTCCGGTAGTGGGAAACAATTTTTGAAGTCAAATAGAGTTCTCGGTCTCGCACATAAGAAACTTGTATTTGATGGAGCAAAAGCCAACATGGGGCCTAACAAAACATATAACTTTGCTAAAGAGTTGTGTGGAAGTTATTCTAATGTTGGTGCTACTTGTACCGAGTTTAAAAATTGGAGTAGGGATGTGAAGCTTTATATTGGTGATCGAGATGCTCAAATGATCATCGAGAAGTTCACGGCTAAGAAGGAGATGAGTGATGGATTTTTCTATGATTATGCAGTCGATGAAGGTGGTCGATTAACTCGCATTTTTTGGGCAGATGTTATTGGTCGAAGAAATTACGATGTATTTGGAGATGTGATATCATTTGACTCTACATATTCCACAAACAAGTAAGATTTTATAGTTAATCTCTTACTATTTTCAATATTGTAATTATATATCATAGTGAATCTTATATTTTTTGTATGTGATACAATAGGTACAACATGAAGTTTGTTCCATTTACTGGTCTCGACAATTATAAGAAGTGTGTTGTATTTGCAGCAGGATTGATAGCTAAAGAGGACATTGATAACTATGTCTGGATTTTTGAGGTATTCATTAAATGCATGATTCGCGAGCCAAAGTGTATTGTTACAGATCAGTGCCCTGCCATGAAGCAAGCTATACCAACTGTCTTTACAGAAGCACGTCACCGTTTGTGCATGTGGCACATCATGAAGAAATTTAACCAAAAGGTAATGAATCATGCATTCAAATATAATGAATCCTCATTAGATAAATACTGAATCTTTCGTTATATATTTATATTGTAGTTGGCAAAATGCATTTCGAAGATGGATGATTTCAAGAGGAAGATCAATGCACTGATTTGGAGTGTAGATATAGATCCAGCAACATTTGAAGTAGGTTGGAAAGATGTTATGAAAGAATATAAGCTTGAAAGTAATGAATGGTTGTGTGAACTGTATAACATTCGGGAGTCATGGATTCCAGCCTATTATGCTGATGATCCATTGGCTGGTTTATTGCGTACTACATCAATATCAGAGAGTGAGAACAGTTTCTTTGACAAATTCAACCGTAGATCTGACACATTGACAGAATTTTATCTTCGATATGAGAGTGCTATGGAGAAGCAAAGGCATACAAACGCAAGATTAAACTATGAAGGAACGAAGTCGATGCCAAGAATGGACGGGCCATTGTTATTGGAGAGGGATGCAGCAGAGTTGTACACTCGAACAATGTTTTATGAGGTACAGAAAGAGATAATGTCATCCTGTTATGATATGAGTATCAACAGTATATCAGAAGAAGATGGTGTGAAGATTTTTTCCATAAAGGACAAAAGGAGGCATGGAAAAATATTTGAGGTAATACTTAATAGCGTTTTTTGAAACAATAAAAATTTAATCTATTTTTATTGTAGTGAATCCCGATTCAATGAAGTGAATCGCGATTCAAGTAAGTGAATCTCGATTCACATCACTGAATCGAGATTCAGTGACCATTACAATGACTTGTCATTTTCTTTATTTAATCGGTGCTAATATACATTGTTTTTTTAATTTTAGGTGAAACACACTTATTTGAACAATGACGTTCAATGTACGTGTAGGCTGTTTGAGAAAATGGGTATAGTATGTAGGCATGGTTTTTTTGCACTTAACCAAGCTGATGTAACAAAAATACCAAGACATCTTGTTGTGAACCGATGGACAAAAGGTGCTGAAATGAGGCATTCATTGCAGTTCAAGGAAATATCAGAACAATGTTATGCAATTGAAGTTACAAATCGTAAGTTGAATGACATATGGTATGATTTCCAATCCTGTGTGAGTTTGGCAGGTTTAGATGGTGAGAGACTTGACTACCTGGAAGGGAAGTTGAAGGAGTTGAAGCACAGTTTGCGTGAATCTAGTTTGAAATCTGACACACAGAACAAAAATGATGTAATGGAGTTTTTTGTTGGCTCAAAAATACCAGCGGAAGTGATCGTTAAACCTCCCATTGAAGGTAGAAACAAGGGTTGTGGACGGAGAATTGTTGGTGATTATGAGAAATCAATTAGTCAACGGAAGAAGAAGGTGCCAAGGCTTTGCAATATGTGCAAAAAAATCGATTTCCATGACGCACGGACATGCCCATTAAAGAAAACAATACAGCAAAGTGATGTTTAATTTAGTCGACATATTTTGTTTCAAACACATGTTTATAAATACATTTCTTATTAAAATTTCTGAATTGTGTAATTATTAACTACATATACTTACTAGATTATTAATTACATGGTTACGTTGTGTGATATGCACTCTAGTTGAATCTACTCGATTCAGTTGAGTGGATCGAGATAAACTGGGTGAATCTACTCTATTCAGTTTAGTGAATCGCGATTCACTGGATGAATCGTCTCGATTCAGTTTTGTAAATCGCGATTCAGTTGAGTGGATCGATATTCACTGGGTGAATCTACACGATTCAGTTGAGTGAATCGCGATTCAGTTGAGTGGATCGAGATTCACTGGGTGAATCTACGCGATTCAGTTGAGTGAATCGCGATTCACTGGTTGATTCGACTCGATTCAGTTTTGTAAATAGCGATTCACTGGGTGAATCGTCTCGATTCAGTTATGTAAATAGCGATTCACTGGGTGAATCTACTCGATTCAGTTAGGAAAGTGAGGGTTTTAAATTGAATTGAGATTGAGATTTACTCATATAGCATGTGAATTCCAGTGAATCTACTCAAATAGCGATTCACTGGGTGAATCTACTCGATTCAGTTAGGAAAGTGAGGGTTTTAAAACTGAATCGAGTCGATTCACCCAGTGAATCGCGATTCACTCAACTAAATCGAGAAGATTCACCCAGTGAATCTCGATCCACTCATTTGAATCGAGTAGATTCAACTTAAGATAATGGCCAAACAGTTATTCCAGATTAAATACATACAATCCACAATAAGTATGATTATTTTATTGTATGTTACATAAAAAATTGGATTATATCTCCCAATCTCTGCTGAAATCGAAATTATGACAAATCTATTCTTATATAGTACTCAATAACTGTAAACTTCAACATTGAAAATTATGACAAATCTAGAAATAACAGATAGTGACAATGTACTCAATAACTTTAAACTTCAACATTGTAAATTATGGTGATTACAGATTATCATTTTCTTTGAGATCATCTTGTGGTCTTCCTCTTCTCTTTTTTGATATTTCCAGTCTCAGCATGGTGCTGTTGGGCTTTGCTAATTACTTCTTTGGCCAATTCATTTGGTGGTTCAGTAAGAATTTGGCAACAGTATATAGACCTCAGTCTATGTAGCTGATTTTTTAATCGCTCCTGTCGATATGAACAACAGTTAAGTAAGAAGACTAACTGTAAATTATCAACACATTTTTAGTTTAACACTTACACCCTCTCTATGAAAACCAGAGCTCCAATTTGCTGTACCACCGCCCATGTAGGTCTCCATATGTCTCATGACAAAAATACCACAATCATATGTATTTTTGGTCGTTCTCCACTCCATCTCAAGTCTGTCAGGCGTTAATGTAATTATTTCACTCGCCTTGTGATGTTTCTTGTCTGCCAAATATCTCACAAAATTCTGGTGCTGTTTAATCAAAAGTAATCAGTGTCACATAACAAATCCAAATTATTATAGAATAATGTTTAATGTAATATACAAATTGTTTTGGTTGTTTATATGGAAACAGTATCCATTGCAGTGAATCACGATTCATTGGATCTAACTCGATAGGATTTAATAGAGTTAGTTCAACTGTTCTAACTCTACTGAATCTTGATTTCTCGTACGCTAGTTAATCAGGATTCACTATAGTGATTCAGGATTCACTAAATTGGATCTGGATTCACTTTAGTGAATCTGGATTCACTATAGTGAATCTGGATTCACAATAGTGAATCTGGATTCACTAAAGTGAATCTGGATTCACAGTAGTGAATCTGGATTCACAGTAGTGAATCTGGATTCACAGTAGTGAATCTGGATTCACAGTAGTGAATCTGGATTCACAGTAGTGAATCTGGATTCACAGTAGTGAATCTGGATTCACAGTAGTGAATCTGGATTCACAGTAGTGAATCTGGATTCACAGTAGTGAATCTGGATTCACAGTAGTGAATCTGGATTCACAGTAGTGAATCTGGATTCACAGTAGTGAATCTGGATTCACAGTAGTGAATCTGGATTCACAGTAGTGAATCGGGATTCACAGAAGTTAATCGGGATTCACAGTAGTGAATCGGGATCCACAGTAGTGAATCGGGATTCACTGGAGTGAATCTGGATTCACAGTAGTGAATCTGCATTCACTAGAGTGAATCTGCTTTCACTGGAGTGAATCTGCTTTCACTATAGTGAATCCCGCTTCAATTTAGTAAATGCAGATTCATGTATTACTGTATTCCGCCAGTAAATGTTTAAAGTACATACAAAAGGTGGGAAAACATACCAAACCCTCAGGACGACCTTGGTATTTTTCCTTGTAGTCTGGGCAGTTTTTGCTATTGTCAATCAGCTCCATACTTGGATTCTTTAGCCCATAGCACACAATGTAGAAATGCTCAAACGCATTTATGGGGAAGAAGACCTAATGGTTGTGGAATTTAATCAGAGATTTAACAGATATAGTTAAAATTGGGCTAAAGAAGAAAAATATTATCTTCGAATCTTTACCATATCAATCTCATTAAACTTCATATGTGGATACAGAGCAAGTTGCTCATCCATCCGGGAAGCAAAACGACTGTATCTCAATTCATCATTGGCCTCATCTGTGTGATGAATGTTGCAAAACTGTACAACATAAAACTTGTTAAATAAGATGTAACTGAATTGTTATTTTAAAAAGAATAAAGGAAGATACTTACGGTTGTCTCAACATTGCAGAAGAATCTAAGTGGAGAATTTTCGGACTTCATTTTTTCTCTGCTGTTCAAAATATAGGACCAAATGCTGATTAAATTTGCCTCAATGTCCTCATCAGGAAGGAAAGTCTTGAAAGCCAGTAAGAAACATTCAATTTGTCTCCACTTAAAAACCACTTCACTGAAAAAACAGTAACAATATTCAATTTAATAAAGGGAGTAAATACTAAAAACAGTGAGTCTGACACATAAAAATAAAATAGATTCATAAGATTTAAGAACTCACAAATCCTCTTCTTCATCAGAATCATCAGCTGAATGCCTTGCTTTTTCTCTATGTACCCAATTCCATATGATGCTTTCCAGCTGACTTTGCCTAGCAGTAATCTGAGATACCCTCTGCACCCATGGTGACCGAAGAGACGTTGCAGGCTTCACCATCCTCTTTTCTTTCCTCCTTCCCGCATCTCCCTTATTTTCGGTCACCTCAACTTTCTTATGTTTACATTCATCTACTGCAGCAGCATCTTCAACTTGTTTATCAGTTCTTTTTACAGGGTCATCAGTGACTTCATATTCAACTTGTTTAGCAACCTGAACAATATCTACCATTTCCACTGTCTCATTCTTAGTATCCTATGTTAGGCCAAGAGAAAAACTAGGTTCTTCAGTCTGTGGGGCACCACATTCGCTGAGCTTCCGCTTCACTGGTCTTTCATCCTTTTTTTGCTAACAGTCTCTATAATCTTATCAACTTCTTGAATAAAATTTGGGGAGACTTGGGTTTGTGGTATCTCAGCTGATGTTGGATCAACAGCAGGGGAAGCATGCATATCTCTACTCACATTTGTGTTCATGTTAGGTGTATCATCAACAATGTTTCTCTCAGCTGTTTCATCGTTACAGGTACTTACACGATGTCCACACCCCTGCACAAGAACATTTGAAACTCTTTGTTGAATTTGCAAGAGCTCATTGTCATTGGGGAACAGCTTTCTCATTGTCTCACACTCAGCATCATATCTTTCTTTTGCAGATTCCAACTCTGCAGCTCTCCGTTGAACCCTATCAATACAATCCTGTAGTTTGAAAATCACAGACATTGGTCACCATAAATTATTAACATGGTTTGAGACAAGTTTGAATAATCAATGTATTTGTATCATGATTTCAAATGACTGAATCCATAGTCGACTAAAATAGTTTCAGTTTGACTCTGGTGAATCGAGATTCAGTCGTAGTGAATCGCGATTCACTACAGTAAATTGATATTGAATTTCATTCAATCGACATTCACTCCTACTGAGTCGCGATTCACCTCAATAAATTGAAATTCAGTTTAAGTGAATAGAGATTCACTCCTACTATATTGAGATTAAATTGAATAAACAATTTTAGTCGAGTCAATTATCGAGATTCAGTCGTAGTGAATCGCGATTCACTACAGTAAATTGATATTGAATTTCATTCAATCGATTCAAAATCGCTCACGCTCTATGATGCGACACCAATAAATCTGGTAAGATTCACAGATTTAAGTGAATAGAGATTCACTCCTACTCGTATGTTGAGATTAAATGAATAAAGAAGACTTGCAACTTAATATGGCTAACCTTTCTTTGTATCAACACTTTTTAGGTGAGTTTTCCAGTAGAAACAGATGAAGGTGCAAGTTTAACCCTTCTCTGTAATTGCACTTTGCAAACAATGAATATCTGTACTAATTCCTCTGACGTGTCTTGTTCCTTCAAGGCCAGTCAGCTCCAGCCCTATTAAATGGGGTTGTTCTCGTCAACCAACTTCCCCTTTGAACAGAACCCATCGCATAGAAGCAGCTAGAAAGCGGAGATACCAAAATCTCAGCATCACGCCCAATTAGTGAAGCGTTATCAACGTAAAACTATCTCTTAACTACAGTAATGTAACAGATAAATCAATATTAATCACCAAATCTCGACTTAAATCCAGAAGATCACAAGAGAGCCAGTGT